AGCTGAATACATTGCATTATGCCACTGCATGCAGGAGCTGATATTCCTGAAGTTACTACTTAAGGAACTCGGTTTCACAACCACGAAAGCAGTCACGATTAAAGAAGACAACGAAAGTTGCATTAAAATCTCAAATAATCCTGAACTACACGGACGATCAAAACACATTGATATTCGATATCACTTTGTACAGGAAAAGGTTGAGAGATGCGAATTTTGTATTGAGTATTGCAACACCAAAGTGATGGTAGCAGACATTTTTACTAAAGCCCTTGATAAGCACCAATTTAGAGACTTAAGAAACAAGTTAGGTATGCGCTCTCTCGCTAAACTTAACAGTTAAACATACTTTAAAATACACGATAAATTAACCATTTTTATATTACCTCACAACTTTTAAAGAGTCACGTGGTAACATGAGTTTTTTTTCCCTTTAAGAACTTTTACATGCAAAGGTTTTCTCGTGTTACTTTTCGATAAGGTTTTTACACTGAAAGTGTTTTTCCCTGGCACACAGCCGCCAAATATACATGTACATTTAATTTTATAATAGAACAAAAGTGAAGGTAAACAAATTAAAAAAATATATTTTGATCTTAATCTAAAAGTGAAACTTTACGAACGAACATCACTCTGTCGATCCACTCACCGTAGTCCTCCAAAGGGCACTGAGACGAATCGTCAAAAACTGCCCTCTGGGCTCCACGGACCTGGAGGACAAATGCATGTCCAACCGCCATAGTATTACAGGCAGCAACCAAGTAAATACCATCTTCTAATGGCAACCGTACTATGGCAGCGACACCTCGGTGTCCAGTACGGTGCCTGTTGTACTCAATATCCTCCAATGATAGCCGAGAACCACCTACATGTAACTGTAAAATAAAAGCTCGAAAAATTGTCCACGGCACTCCACGAGACAGATCTTGCTTTAATTCTGTTGCTCTCGCAAGGAACTCCTGAACATGGGAGTTCCGAACACCAAACGGCTCACCCACTAGCAGCAATGCGTGTTGCAGTGCGAGAAACATGCATGTACCCATCGGGTTGGCACCAGCAACCGATGGGTACAAGTTGCTGACGAACTGAAAGAAGTCGGTTTGCCGACCTCCATCAACCCACTCGTCCACAACCTTTATAGCGGTTTCAAATCCGTCCTCAACTAGCATGGCACGTGGCTCCCATGTGCGTGGTAGCCGGCCATACTTGTGGGTCCTCCACAAAACCCTGTAGAGTAAGCCACCAGTTGTACTCGTTTTTCGGTCCTTCAGGAATGCTACACCCAAGTCTGGGGCACACACGGACGCTCCTTGCGTCGACGTCGCCTTTTGGGTTTGGACCCTCGTATGAACGACAGGCTAAAGGCGGCCGGAGGTTGCCGGGATCGAGTACTGCGGCGAATCTTCGGTACTGTTGATGTCGAAGTCGTTGGCTCAGTGCATGTAGATGTAGTTGAAGTGGGTTGATCTTGAGTTGAAATCGTGCTCGAAGAATTAGCCGTAGCCGTGTCAATAACCGATAGAGAATTCGTAGTCGAAGGTAGCTGCTTTGGGGCAGCCATTGTAATGAGATGCTTGGCGATAGTAGGGTCCATCCGGGCCACCTGCGCCGACCGAGGCATGATCCTCAAAGCTGGCGTTAAATAAATGAGCCTCGAGCCAATCTGCCTGGTCTCCACAAGTATCCTGAATGACGCCGACTGAGCGAGAATGAAGCGTTGCAATACCCAAAGCTGGCTGTTGAAGCACCGAAGTTTGTTGGTGTCGTGGCCTTGACGTGCGTGTCCTTGACGTGCGTGTGGCTGGTGCGGTGACAGTAGAGTGTAAATTGTGATGTGAGACTACGAGATCAGCTCAATGAGCCCCCGAGCTGCTGATTGATCCTATATCGCGCGCCGGACCATAGAATAAGACCTTATGCCGTCCCAGCATCATCTGCGTTTGTCGTCCCTACTATATTCAAGGCTGTCCGTCATGTGGGCCGATTCTGTTGGCATTGAGCTTCTCTAAGTTAACAATACACGCTCCGATAAGATGGCCACTTGTTGTAACTGCTATTAACTTCAATACAAGTGTACTCTCAAAACCTATCACTGTCAAAACTAATTCGTTTTGAACTTTCGAGTCATTTTTCAGTCTGCCACCTGGTGCACAGGTGGTCAAATGGCGATTTGGACTCCACCTCCCCAGAAAACTGCCCTGGCGAGTAGAGTCCAAATCCGGTCTCCGTTTGGCTGTAGGGCCTCTAGGAGCTTCAGAAACGCAAAAAACACGAATTCGTGTAGCCATTTTGTAAATTGACTGAACACTTTTAGCAGGGTTTTCGTAGACCAATCAAAACACGTGTATTATATTATCCAATGACGTTCCCTGATGTCGATCCAGGTAGGCTGTTGAGGTTAGGGCCCGTCACAGGGACCGCCTCTCCCATCGTGCTCTCTATAAACTAATAATGAAGAGACACGGTATTTTTGACTCTAATAAATAATGTACTAAAATGTCTTGAACATTTTAGTACGATGAATTGTAGCGGCAATTCTAGACTATGTTTCTGAATGCCGCATACTAATTTCTTGTTAGTAGCCCGCTACTTTCTTAAACATTAATCTTACTTCTTCTTTTACTCCTTCCTACCCTGACTTCCTTCTACCTGCGCCCAAGTTACCCGCAACATGGTCGTACCATGGTCGTACTCGTTGACCTCTCGCTTGAATTAAATTCTGCTACCGGTATCTCACTTAAGCTTTTCCCAAAGCAGTACCGATTTGCCGCAATCGTGCAGTACCGATCATATGAACTACAAAACGGATAGGAATATAAATGCGCTATTTGCTATAGTAAGCGTCGCCTCTCTTTCCCTCCGCAATGCCCTGGTACCTTCATCGGTGTCTGATTGTGGAAATAATTGTGAGCAGCTCTATTGGCTTTCAGTGCAACCGGACACTTTTTCAGGGGGGAATTGACTCAGGAGCGGAATAAATATGATACTGTATAAAATAGTAGTACTTTACAATTAATGTTCATATTTCAATAGTTCATAATACTCAGGCCCGGCAGATACCAACAGAACTACCAGGGTCAAATGCGTGTGTGTATCACCAACTATCCTACGTAGTCAGATCTAGTCCTTTGCCAGGTCAAGATGGTGCTACTCCACTTCAAAGTGGTGAAGTAACTAAACTTTTATAAAAAAATATTTTTAGTTTTTACATTAGAATTTATGTCACTTCACAAATATGTCGAGTAAACGCACTCCGTACTTCAAAGTGGTTCATTCGCAGTTCAAAGCGGATCAACCCTCCTGAGCGTGTGCGCGAGCACTTCATTGCCATTCCTTGCTCTCTCTTATCAATCTTTTCCCAAGCCCTCAGCCAAGCCAAGCCTCTACCTACCCCAAGATGCCCAGAGCTCCGCACCTCGCATTTGCCAGAGCTCGTGTCCTCGACTGCCTCCGTGTCGGCGGTGACTGGACGCTTGTGGCCGCCCACAACGGAATCCCCGCCACCACAGCACGTCGAATTGTGGAAGCAAGCGGAAGCACACGTCGCTGAACGAGCCGACTTGGTACTTGTACGGCTGGCTCCGTACTCTACAATATGTAACCCCATTCAAGGTACGCAGTATACTGTATTACAATATTGTTTTAATTGGCATACTAACCGACTTTTGAACTGGTGCTACACGGTGTTTTACATGTACAGTAGTGTTTTTAAGGCCAAGATCAAGGCCGACCTTGCCTTGCCCCGTAAAGGGCTGGTTGTGGAGCATCCTCGCGGGACAGTTGCGGCTGCTCGGATGGAGAAACTGGAGCGCGCGGCGAGACGCCGCATCGGATGTATCGACACGCACCTTGCTAACAGGTTGACACTGCATTGCCAGCATTCCGTTGCTGCCGCGGAGCGCATGGAAGACATGCAGTACGGCACCTAGCTGCAGCTCAACCTGAGGGGACCACTTTGCTCTGCGTTTTCGCCACTTTAAATTTCCTTTTTTAGTACTACTTTTTCGTAATCAAATTTTTGTTTTCATTTTTTTAAAAGTCCGGTTTGAAGTGGAGTAGCACCATCTTGACCTGGCAAAGGTGTAGTCAACCAAGGTGTCAAATAGTCCAGGTCATCGATTGAGGACAATCACTTGTGCGTACAGTACGTATTATCGTTGAAATACGTAATCGACAGTGCCAAGTATCAAGTCTTAGAAATGCAACGACCAGAAGGTAATAACTAGAGCTGTTAACATTTTACAAAAGCTATTAACGTAAAAAACGTTAGCCCAAACCTTATTCACATCGTAACTTTGTCAAGTTAAAATGTGGTCCACATACCACTCCGTTACTGCGTCGGAGCACGAATCGCCGTTAAGTGTCGCCATCATCGACACGAACGTTGCACAAGGCGAGAAGTTCTGTGTCCGTTCTCGCCGAGAGCGGAAATTTTTCCTGCGTCCGTGTGCTGAGTACATGCAATAAGCGTCCATGTATTTCATTTTTAGTGAAGCGCTAGATATTGACTTATTATTGACAACAGTAATAAAGTAGCTGCAGCGTTTGCTCATTGTAGCCCAAAAAAAGTTGCATCGTGTAACACGATTCGTGTTATGCCAGGTATAATGAACGTGGATATTGAACGATGTTGAAGTGGTGTATTCCAAATACATATACTTGAAAGCCAAGTGAACACGTACTCAGCCCATGTCTCTAGCACGTGTTAGAAGTGTGCAAATTGGATCAAGCTTTGACACGCTTTCGTCTTGCCGACCCGAAATCTTCTGCTCATATTTTGTTGGCCAACTCCTCAAATTGTTCCCCACCCTGCTCTAAAGCCCCCCATGAGTCATTAAATGGAGTACCCCTGGGGTACTGTTATTCAAGCACGAGTGATGCAGTCTCATCATCAAGTGAACATAATTCATCACTTAAAGCTTGGGTGTCCACATTTTGGCGGTTTCTCCGTTATGTAGCCGCTTCGCCATCATTAGTGGAGACTTTTAAAAGCTCCACTACCCAACCTTGCGGAAGCCTCAGCGATGCCTCTCTACGTAGCGGTCTCGCCGACGTTTGCCACGCAGGGGGGGGGGGTCGCTGGATGAGCTGGTGAACTCGACGTTCTATGCTGAGTCCATGATCAAAGACACTGGAACGGGCGTCACCAAGCACGCGACGACCCTTGGCCGCTTCGAAAAGGTCTTCGTCTTCATGGTAGACCCCAATTCTTTGCCCGGAGCGTCGCTCTACAGTTTCTTCATTGCATGTGCAGCCTTCACCAGTTGCTTCATCCTATTCCTACAAACGCTGGCCGGTCCGAACCACCATAATTTTGAGCCTGAGTACCCGAAACTTCCCAACGTGAGCGGCTACTATGACGCAGACTTGGTCTTTACAATCATTTTCGCCCCGGAACTACTCGTTCGCCTCGTCATTTGGCCATCTATGTGGCGCGAACATGAATACCTCACCGAGCGACGTCTGAAGCCATTTCTGCGCGACTTTTTTCAACTGGCTCGATGTCGCTGCCATCGTCCCATTCTACACCGACCTCATCTTCGTACTCCGACGAAAGGCAACGTGGCAAGCCGCTGCTTCGCTGTCATGATTATCATGTCTGGTACGCTCTTCTTGTCCATGCCTCTCGCTATTATCGAAACAGGGTTCGATAGCGCTTGGAAGCAGCACGCAGAGAGTGTCAAGAAGCTCCAGCAACTTCAAGCAGGGTGCCTGTGGCAAGGGACTATAATGTCGTGGCTGCTTTCGCTGGCGAGATGATAGCTATCTGGTCCTTGAACTGTTAGGCTGGCGATTGGCTGGTGTTTGGACAGGTGTCGATGGCGTCATCTGGCCATATCTGCTGGGGGCACGACCACCACTAGCATGCAGCTCCGACACAACGTTTAATCGCTCGTGGATGACATCAGGAGTTTGAAGGTGATGGTCACGCTTGCCAGGGACATGGGAAGACATTGGTGTGTATCAGCACGTCGACGTTCGTCCATTTTTCCGATAGCAAATTGGAGACTGACGCACTACACAAATCACAAGATTTTTTCTCAGGGTTTTGTATGTACAACTTCAAGCATTCCTGACGAAGTTTTGCTTAGTAAACAGAGTTTGCGGTTTGTTTGCAAACCTTTCTCTGAGTTAAAGTTGTTAAAGTTTAGCGAGTTTAGACCCCTAAAAAACACTAACAGCTCTATTAATAACGCAGTGGTCTATCGGCTCACAGGTGCGGTGGCGATTGTAAGGCAGTCACTCCTTTAAGAAAAGAAGGACATGTGGCCGACAGACGAAAGTTCTTTGGACTGGTGTGTCTATGGCCTTGGTCGCAAAACACGCTACTCCCAAAACAGTTTTTATTTAAACAACCAGTGCTCAGTTTTGAAACTTTGAAACGCAGTAGATATCCTATTAGTCGCACCCCATTTTCAGCTACCGATAGTACAGACAGGAATGTGGTTCGTTAGAAAAAGCTCTGATATTTAATGTATACAATCCGTGCGCGTAAACCAATAAATATTCTGCGGCGTTGTGCGTGCTTTCGAATACGGGTACCTGTATAAATGAATGCATGTTTATGGAGTCCGGAGCTCTAAGCATGACCTACATAATCCTAAACTAATTATCTCAAATTATTTGAATCATTAGTAATAATGAAGGCTCACCACAACATATGATTGTTTTCGTGTTTTACTCACACATAATCACAGCTAAACCTGAGCTCTGTTTTTTCTGCATTTATTTCTGTTTGACATTCAGCAACAAAGTCGACCCCAGCCGCAACGATGTTCCCGCCAAACACCCAGCACTTTCGTGATGACGCAATTGGGTTGGTGAAGCAGCGTGGAGAGCGCCGCTGTGTTGTTCCAGTTGTCTCATCGAACCGAGCTTTAGTTCGTTCTACTAAAACTAACGGAGACTCCGATATGTTCAGCTCGCGAGAGCATCCTGGCTTCTTTTTACCAAGTGGCGAGTCGGACGTAACAATCTTCCGTCCAATGTCAACTTACGATGAATTTTACCGCCCAGCCCCAATGGCACCTCCTGGAGGGCACAAACAACCCGCTAGACGAGAAGAAGAATGGGAAGCGGAGCTAAAAGTAGCAAAAGAGAAACATCGATTGAGTCAACGGCGATACCTACAAAAACAAAAAGATTGTTTTGTACGGCTAGAGAATGGTAACGACCAACTACGCCGAGAGATCAACCGGCTAAGGAGGAAATACCAGGATATCCGACATAGAGTTATACCCAAGGTCACTGTTTGGACGGTGGTAACGGAGTACTTCCAAGTCTTTCGAAATGGGTTTCACGCAGATGGCCGTAAACAGTTTGATTTCGCTCGAACTGGGATGACACCTGACATTACTCACAATTCAGGACGTGGGATTGAGTCTTTGACGACAAACTGGAGACTCCGATCGGGGTGGTTTGAAGATATCGAGCTCGATGCGTTGGACTTAAAGAAAAGTCTGGATGGATCCATTGTAGCAACAACGAACACGAGTTTTACAATAAGCGAGAAGACGCTGCAGAATGTTTTCCCTCTTCTCTATCGCAGGTACGGTGGCGGTTTTGAGAGAGAATCGAGACTTGCGCAAAAGCTGCTTGGAAAACGTATCGTTATGCGTGGAACGACTCGTTTTGAGTGGGATGGCGCTTACGGCCAGTTGACATGTAAATTGGACCAATCCGATCTACTCACGCCCATTCATCGTCTTCTGGGTAACTTAGAGGACGTGTGTTTTGTCTTCAAAAATTCTCTCGCTTGCCGCTGCGATCAGAAGAGCTGCCGATTAAAACTTGGTGTAGACTTTGGCCAAATATGTCCAGACGGTTTGCTAAACACGCTTTTTTCTGCGTACATGGATACCGGCTAAAATGCTACGTGTAGCTTCGTAAATGTACGAGCTCATTCAATATGTACATGTATGCACCTTTTTTAAAGTGAATGTGAGCTTAATGAGAAAGATAAAATAAAACAGTTAGAGACTTATCTGTGAAATCTATGATACAAAAAGGTCCTGTGTTAGCTACTGTCATTACCACCCTGTTTACTTGACTTTTGTATGGTCGTGGGTGGCTAATCCAGTCCCAAAACCACCTCGCTGACCACGTTGCAAGTAGTTGCCCATTTACACAAATTCCGCATATTTTTTCAATCGAAGCAGAAATCTCTAACGTTAAAAAGTAACCGAGCTACGGCCACTAACGTCGGTGGCCGAGTAATAAATGATCTTATCTTTATTAAGCGACAATTTTGCGAAATCTAAAACAAATACAGTATTTTGCTTCAATAAATAAGTCCTAATATGAATAAAATTGTCAAGGTATTGGCGCAATAGAGGTTTCCAAATATACATTTGAAGAAGGCAATGAAAGTATAGTGTCAAAAATTATGAGGTTTTGGAGCTTCCTTATTGAGGCAAAATACTGTAGCTTTAAAGATTTTCCTTGCGATCCCGTAGGCAAAATTCTTGACGTCATCTGGTGGTATCAATATGGTTTGAAATTTGCAGCTGGCAAGTCGGAAATGGTCGATGTACTGTTAGATCACCGAAATCACTGGCGTGTAGCTTCCACAATCCAAATAAAAAAACAAGTAGTTATAATAACATGAATGGCGAAAAAGAATCCGCTGTTACGACATAGGTACCATACGCACTGCATACCTTACGCCCTCTATCCTAACTACTCCGGAAACTAGAACCGCACAATAAGCTATATCTGGGAAAATCACAAGGATACATAATTCCTTAGGTGCCCACTCTCTCAATCCGCAATCTCATTAATCTACCAAGATCGCCGATCAGCTGGGTATGCGTTGATACATCACAAACAAGTCGTTGAAATTCATCTTCGGCGCGCTGTCGCCCTTCTAGCTCTGCAATCGCGACGTTTCTCCATATCTGGGCTGTTGTTGGATTCGGACCAGCTGTTGTGTTGATCCTTTCCCTCAATTGCTCTAGCTCCATGGACAGCTTTCTCACTTCTTGAGGCAGGCTATTCCTTTCTTCCGTTAAACGTTGCCGGTATACTTGACGCCGCTTACTCTCTTTTGCTCGACGAGCGCTTCGACTTAGACAGTCACGGTCAGAGAAGCAACTGCTAGATTGACTATCGCCTGATTCCGTCAGGGAATCCACAAACCCCGGGGCAGTGTCAAGCTCACTCCAGCGCTGTTCGGATTCATCGTAGACAACGTTTATAGGACTGTTTTCCAAGAAGGCGTCCAAGTCCTGGAGGAATGTCTTATCGGGGTCCATTGCTGCTTTTCTTAGCATTTTGAATAATGGCTGTTGGTGTAGCGATCGTACGCTGTACTGACAGTGTCCGTCTGACACTGAGCACGTATAGGCCAGGGGATTCCTTTGTCAGTGACGTCGACAGAGTAGGGGTTAAAAAATGGTAAAGGTTAGGTACACTGTATTTACACTAACCTACATGTCCTGGGCAGATTACGACTTGCGTTCCCTACAGTTTCGTCATCACGATTTGTCATCCTCAAACTACGATTTATTTGTAGCCAGTGAATACAATCCACTCATGCGATGATAATAGCTAGATGTGACGTCCGGGGGAGCTAATGACAAAATATTATTGAGTTCATATAGTTTTCAAAGCCGATCTCAGTCGGATTACATGCAGTATCCAGGCTGTGGCAGGTATACAGCCATTTACGAGCACTGCTGTACCACGTTACAGTGTTTCAATACGTTCCAGAGCACACACTATGGAACGTTTTAAAAGCACTAGTGCAAGACTAGAAGTACAATAAATGGATGAGCATGTACTCACCGATATGCCAGCTGTTGTCCTCAGAAGATCATGTTGATGGAGGTCATAGCCTCAAGCCTGGCCTACGTAATCTTCAATAAGATTCTGTAATTAACAACCGGTACGGCTGAATTTGCAGCTAAAATAACGGATACGCGTCCGAGTTAAGCTAGCAGAACGATAAGCTAGCTACAACGTCGAGTTACCCGACAACGTAACTTGATGACAGATTTGTCGTGGAGACCGCCACATCAAAACCGTAATCCAGTGTGGCACTTCTGTAAAAAGTTTCATGATGGAAGACGACTTGATCACGCTGGACGAGGCATTGGCTTATCACTGCTTGTGATGATGGAACCCTGGGCGACTCGCTAACCTCGGGTGCTAAAGTACAAGACAGCCTTGGTAACTTGATATCGGTGACGACGGACGATGATCTATTCGGCATAGGACTCCACAGATTGACCTCGATGGTATCGACCACGTTGCCTTTGCGCAACAGCACGAGTCCGACTGAGCCACAGTCCGAATCACCGATAAGGAAGACGAAGCGCGCTCGAAACGCTACAAGCTCCTCAACTATTATACAGCGTCGCAAGAAGGCCGAAATTGAGACTTTGCGTAAGGAGTCAGCAAGGTTGCAAGCGTGCATCACCCACCTGAGCACGAGTGGAGGCCAGAAGAAGCCTCTAGCGATAACCAAACGCGACGAAATTCAATCAGAAAGTCACCGCCATGCGTTCTATCAGTATCGCCAACGCCATCAGTCCGAACAAATGAATCGCAAACTGAAGGAAAAGCTGAAGAGAGAAGAGAGCACTGCATCCAAGTTCGTGTTCTTTTTAAGCGAAATGTGCTAGCTGTAAGTATTTTGAAGTCAGCTAGCCCCCCCCCCCTCCCCTCGTAGATGTGAGATATGAATTAACATAGTGTCACGAAAGTAGCGAGGAAGCGTAGGAGCGTAGACGGCGAGTACGGCGCCGTAGACAGTTGAA